TCGTGGCCACGATCCCGAGTGCAGCGCAGCATCCGTCTCGGGGCGTTGTCGGGGCATGGGAAACTGCGGAGACGCAATCTCCAATCTCAGGACACGCGTCCTCAACGAAGCAGTGGCGTGGCGTGAATGATCGATTATCGATATTCCCCCATTTGAATCCGTGGTAAAGAATCGATTATTAGAGTATTCGCTGCGAACACCCTGTGTATCGATCCTTTTCCACAGATTTAAATGGCATAACAATCGATAAATCGCAATTCACGCCACGCCACTGCAACGAGGAGCTTTTGCCTTTGCTGTGGTTTGCTCCGTGCGAGAGAGATCTTGGACCGATGCACTTTAAGAAACCATGCACACATTTTTAGGTTTTTGAAGCTTCGCATTTTGCGTGTTAATTGAATAAAATAATTTTGAAAAAAGAACGCCTTCGCACGCTATGTTGTTTACTATGTTGTTGTATGAACTTTTAATAAACAACATAACGAGCATGCAAAGGCAAGAGTTTCTTTTTTTTCAATTTAATTCTCAGGTTAATGTATGGATACTGCAACTTCTGTCGTAATGAAATAAATCTGAGAGTCTGGACTGCCGTGCCAAGGAAAAACCCCGTGGGAACTTTTGAACGGTGCCAAATTTCCTTTGATAAAACACGAATTTCTTTGTATGTATAGATTTCTTCCAATTTTTCAGATAATTTTGATCGCAATCTTGCCAAAAGTTCCTGAAAATTGCAAAGGAAAATATTCGTGACTTCCCTCACAAATAATTGTTTAATCGGAGGAAATTTGGAAACTCTCGAAAGTTCATATACCTTCGGCGTTTTTCCTTAGCACGGCAGTCGGAACAGTCACGATCTCATCACTTGGGCTGCCGCTTTATGAAAAATAATATTGATAGAGTGTTACAAAAGAAATCGATTCCGTACGATAAGTTCATTTTTTCGTATTCGCAATTCTTCATATATTTTTCCGAAGTTACCGGGAAAAAATCGCTCTTCCTTAGCAAATTAATATTCCTTTGGTTAATTCGCACAAGAGATATTACTAATTTCTTTTTTTTCTTTTGTAATTTTTTAATGATGGAAAATTTACCTACAGTTCACAATACTTTTAACTTTCCTTTCCCTCCTTTTCTCATTTTTTTCTGAATCCATTTGTGTACCTTCTTAAATTTCTTTTCCTTTTCCTAAAATTAGTTTTGTCCCTATCAAGGTTTTATAGTGTACCCACGCACGTAATTCTACCAAATCTCTACATCGCATTGCACATACCTAAAGTAGATATCCTGAGCAATCAGTGGTTTCAGTTTACTCAAGCAAATAATAAAGATCTAGGAAATGCCAGACTTAGAGGAGATGCATCCTTACGTGGGTACTTATTTTATTTACTTACTTACTTACGTACTTACTTACTTGCTGACAAGACGAAAATCGGACAATAGCGCACCATCTCTTCAACCAACATTAAATCCCCTTCAAATCGCGACGATACTAAATTTGCTACACCTCGGTGGAACTATGAATTCGGCACAACAGCGCTTATCGAATCGTAACTTTCAAGGTAAATGATGTACAATGTCTGTAAAAAAATCTCTCGTAAAGTCCTTTAATTTAAACTCTTCTCATATATCTCGATCAATAATATTTACCCGCTACTCTCTAGTCTGATATGATATGAAACCGAGAAGCTCAATTACATTGTCTCAAACTTTTTCATAGCATCTTACGTTATTTTATAATGAAACGGACGGCAACCCCCATAAAACAAAGATTGGAGAAGAATCGTTTTCCGAAACAGTTTTTCAGTCGATTTTTTGCACGATGAACCACAGAACATTCGCAACGTACGTTGTATTACACGTGATACGTGATTACTTTTACGTTCATTTCCAGTCACTGATCGCATGGCTTCGTCTCCTTTTACAACCTCAGAAAATAGCTCCAAACGAGACATAGACACTGATTTAGATCGCGGTTCGTGTAAGCTTGCTTGCAAGATAGCTTTCGCGTTTTCAATCAGAGCTGTCAAGTTGCATTCCTTTCTTTTCTTCATTCTGAATACAATACCTTCTCGGAGCGGAATTGCCACAATGTGTACAAAACTTTGTCCTTTTTTCCACGCAAAATCACACAGTTTATTATTTTATTCAGCCTACATGGAAAATTTCCGTGATTTGATAATAATAATTTCAGAATACCATTGCGTTTACCGCCACAAAACTTGAGATTTCGTAACTGTAATTTTTTACAGGAGTTTGCAACTACCTGACTCGTATGATTTATACAATGCCGTTTGAAAGAAGCCAATTTCCAAAAGCGCGAGGCAGCAGTGGATTTCAAGTTCAGTAGATTTAATCGTGAAATTTGTCTACTTCAAATGAACGTTTATAGAGATTGATGCATGAGATTCTTACAGATCGATGAAGGTGCATCAATGCTCTGCGTGTCTTAACTTGCGAAAAGGAGCACAAAGTCATGTTACCCGATGAAATTGCTCTAGCGTTGCGTACCTTTCACTGTCATGTGATGAGAAACAATTCTGCTCCTGCTTTTTAGTAGCAATTACGTGGGAGAGAGAGAAAAAGGTGGAAGCGATGAAGACAGAGAGAAATAGTTGAAGTATTCGACAGTTTCATTCCATTTTGTTACGTTGCATTTCTAAGACTATCGAGAAATGATTGAAACATTCTCGTATACCGACTGATTTCGTTATCTCCTCGATACTTCATTTGTCCCTGTCAAAACTTGTGCAATTAGATCGGTTTGGTAGAGTGACATGAAGCCACAAACTTATTATCCTGTAAATGCATCCAGGGTCGGATTTACCTATTTGCCGCCATTGACCGCCTGTCTTTTGCCGCCCCTTCTTTTTCGTTTTGAAATATCCATAAAAACCATCAAGTGAACGTGCCGGAGGAGAAGGAGTGCATAAGACGCGTTTACTTGTGTTGAGCAAATTTTTGTGCAAGCCCTGTCAACACTAGCAAAAGTTCATGGAACTCTGCGCGAAAATTAATTTCGTAAACCTCTCTCAGTGTGGACAAGGCCTTCCATTTTCTGATATGAACGAAAAATGTATGGAAGAACGAACATAGATGTGGTTTAATAATTTTAACTTCCGTCGCCGCGCCGCGCCGATCGCACTGTGTTTTGCGCCGCGCAATGCGTGTAGTATTCTTACAGTCTTGTAGGCGCTATGCGCTTCACGCCGCGCCGGCCGTTGCTACTGACAGCACAATGTTTGACGTAATGCGTGAAGTATTCATGCAGTCTTGTAGGCGCTAATATGTGTTTCATGCCGACCGCCGCCGAGGGTTCCTCTTATTCATCTCAAGTCCTTGTCATCATTGCTTTCTACGCTGCGCCGTACCAGGCCAAATTGCGTGTTTGGTTTCTATCTTAACTTGACTAATTAAAGGGGCTGTCTTTTTTATCACTAAAAGACGACATAATTAGATATTACTATACTTTTACTCTCAGAAAATGAGAGATTTTGTCGCCTTTTCTCGTCAGTGATTTTTTTTATACCTACTTTTAAAAAATTTGCCGCCCCCTAAATTTGGCCGCCATGGGCCGCAGCCCATGTGGTCACCTGCTCTTAAATCCGGCCCTGACTGCATCACATCAGCATAAGCTTAAATCTCTGCGACAAAGACATTTAGGTGTTCCTCCAAATCTTAAGGATGATTTTTTTTTCTCAATAAAGAATGAAAACATTATTTTTCTTTTCATTCTACTGCTTCAATCTTTCTCACTCACATAATATTCTGTGTATGAAAAATGACATAATTTACTTACAGAATACGACATTTGACCTGCGTGACTGCATTTTCCAATAGCTACGATTGTGACAACCCTCCGTTCATCCACGTTAGGCGCGTAGTTTTTTTCTGCACACATGTACCCATTTGTCATGATATGGTTAGCTTCTATAATCGGGATGTTTTTTCCTTTTTTCAGCATGTCATCTTCAACATAGTCAACATAAGCAAGAAAAGGAATTGTTTCCAGCTTGGTATGACGCCTTTAATAAAATCGACCAGCAGAAATAAATGGTTTGTATGAAATCAATTTTTACATTAGAATGTTTCGCTATTATTGAGTTGCTGTGAGGTTTGTCAATCAAATATGATAGCAACCTCAGCGTAGGATCTGTCCCTCCCATTTTATTTAAATGAAGTTTTCGCACGCGAATATGATTCCCTAAGTATGTGTACGAATCGCAGGCAAGGTAAAACGAGAAGCACTCCCCACGGATTGCGATGTCGTAATCTCATGGCACCGCAAGGAAAATTGGAGGAGAATCATACCTCATAAAAGCACCCTTGCCCTTTTTACTCTCTCCATTTTGTTTTAAGAATAGCGACGGTGGAGAGATGCTGCAGTGTTTTGCGGTCATTTTAAATAGTTCGCCTTCAACATCATGCATAGGCAAAGTGAGCTGCTTGAAGCAGCAATCTCCCAATAGTTGAGCCACGCCATAATCACTCGGTTTCATTCGCTTCAATAGCAGTTGCTCATTAATTTCTCAATCAATTGTTTACTTCCAGCAATTTTCATTTACGGCGTCTCAATTGATCGTGCATTATCATGTACTGCCAGTTTTCGCAATTGATGAATACTTTTTTTTTTGCTTCATTACTTTTTACACAATTCACTAAAAAATACACTGGAGAACGCAAATTTCATGATAAAGTGATAAATACATATGAAACAAAGCTGTAAATAGATCAAAACATTGAGAAAAGAGGGGATATGCCTTGTGTACAAAATGTATCATTATTTTGACAATACGTCAGCTTCAGAAAACGCTCAATAGACTTCAAAATAACAAAGTAATGTTTGTTTTTCATTTTATTAATTCTCACAATGTATGAACTATTTTATATGTCAATGGCGTGGCGTGCTTTGCGACATATCGATGGATCTGCCATTTAAACCTATGGAGAAGAATCGATAAGCAGGGTCTCCGCAACGAACACTTCAATAATCGATTCTTTACCGTAACTTCAAATGGGGGAAATATCGATGATCGATCATCCACGCCTCACTACTGAAAGTGCATATCCTATTGATGTTGGAAAATTAATCGTTGTTTTTGGATAAGGCAGAGAATGCCGAACAAGTTCGTACATTACCACCGGTCCATCTACCACCAGAACAATTACATCCTGTCCTTGATATTTGGGTTCGACCGAGAGGACGACAGCTACCAGTTTGCGCTTACGTACCCGTATTCATATTCCAAATGTCAGTTGCACCTGGAGCTAATTGAGAAGAGGAAAGTGCCCCACTTCACACGGGAGCTACTTGGAACATCCGTTGTAAGTTCCATGCTCAGAATTTGTCTTACAGTTTAATTTTTAAAATAAATTTCGGAATTCTTCGTAATCGTTGTACTAATTGGCTTAGCGCTGAAACTAGAAAACCATGCATTTAGATCTAGACTTTTTGGATTTGACTACAGTACTCTCATGTAAATTAACACAGTAGCTCATAATATTACTTAACAAACTCAATTTACATAAACCAAAATTCATACCCTGGAGGTGATAATTTTCTCCAGTAAGAAGGTTGTTATTTTTTTGTGGAAGAAATAAATTCAGAGCGGAGGAGGGGGAGATCGCAACGTTATTATTAGGGGTCCCGAAATTTAAAATTGACACGAAGTTGGGCTCGGCATAAGTTTTTTCATCTGTGAGGGTGTGTACATGCATGGCGACGGCGTAAGTCTGCAATCACATATATCGTTTGCTGTGATTGAAAAACTCCGCTCCCATTTTATTATCTTGAAAGAGAACGAATTAATCTCATTCCTTAAAGTTTTTGCAGAATTTTCTTCTCACAGAGAAGAAAAATCACGGCAGTTTTAAAGAATTGCCGTAGAGTAGTTTTCTATTTAAAAAATAAAGTATGATAGGAAGTTTGCGACGTCGCAAACTGAGACATGTGATTGCCGACTTACACCATCGATGTGGTCCTTTGATGAGCCGAAGAACGCTGTATTGAAGTAATGAGTGCGAGAGATAGCAAAAGTTGTTGTTCACTACTGCATTCGCAAAAACTCTGGGCCCGGCGGCGTGTGTCGTTGCATATGTGTAATTGTTCACGTGACAAGGCTACCTCTTAACTCCCAATTTAAATTATGTTAGACTGGTCTGGCTCCTTCCTTTCCATTTTCAAAAAATAACGTAGGGAGTCCCAGTCCCTCCAGGAAATAGCTAGTAATTTTTTACATAGGAATAAATCATTTTTTTTTAAAAAGAAAGGAAGGCTCACGTAAGACTAGCCTTAAGCCCCCATCTCCATTCCTCTACCCCCTCGTAAGACCTCGCAAGACAACTTTAGAGCCGCTGGTAACTTATTTAATAAGGCCCTGCGCCTGCGTGTTCATGGTTGCCGATTTTAGTCAACCCAGCGGACTGTTTATTGAAATTGATGGACAAAGCTATAGACAAAGAAGATATAGGGAGTATGGAACGATCCTATTGGTTGAAATGGGCGGTTCCTATAGACAAAGGGAGAAAATGATAGACTAACTGTCGGGTCTCTAGTGGGTTGCCGTTAGTTAGTCGATTACCTAACTCCTTCGTCCATTAAAAGCACCCGCTTCCACCAATAGGATCTCTCCATATCTCTTTTGTCTCCTTTGTCTATAGCTTTGTCTATAGATTTCCAGGACCGGATTAAGGGGGTGGCCACATGGGCCGCGGCCCATGGCGGCAAATCTATAGGAGGCGGCAAATTTTGCAATTGTTTTAAATGTAGGTATAAAAACAATTCGGATTTAGAAAAAAAATTACAAACGAGAGAAGGCGACAAAATCTCTAATTTTCTGAGAGTATAGTAATTCCTACTTTTGTCGTCATTCAGCGATACAAGAGACAGCACCTTTAATTAGTCGAGTTAAGAGAGAAACCAAACACGCAATTTGGCCTGGAACGGCGCGACTTACCTAGAGAGAAATGATGACGAGGACTTGAGATGAAAAGGAAAAGCCCTCGGCGCAGCGATCGGCATGTAACACATATTAGCGCCTACAAGACTGCCCGAATACTTCACGAATTACATCAAACACAGTGCGGTCATTGCGAACAGCGTGAAACGGATAGCGCCTACAAGAATGCATGAATACCTCACGCTTTGCGGCAAACACAACGCGATCAGCGTGAGACGCATAGCGCCTACAAGACTGCGTGAATACTTCACGCATTGCGTCAAACACAGTGCGGTCTGCGAGGAGCGGCGGCGGAAGTTAAAATCATTAAACCACATATGTTTGTTCTTTCATAATTTTTTCGTTCACTTCTTATGAATGAAAGGCCTTGTCTCTACAGAGATAGGTTTACGAAACTGAACTTTCGCTTGAAGTTCTGTGAACTTTTGCTAGTAGTGTTGACAGGGCTTTCCTAAAAAATGTGTTCAACACCAGTAAACGCGTCTTATGCACCCCTCCCCCGCTGGCACGTTTATTTGATGGTTTTCATTGATATTTCAAAACGAATGAGAAGGGGGCGGCAAAGTACTAGCGGCCCATGGGCGGCAAGTAGGTAAATCCGGCCCTGTAGATTCCAATAATCGGCCCGCAGATCCGTTAGTCAAGTTGGATCATTTAATTTACTTATTCTAATCGAATGGAATTTGAAATCGTTTTCATTTATCTTTTTTGCATTTAACTTTGATACATTTTTCTTACAGCAAAATCGGAGGCTGGATCTACTAACAATCACACACCCTAAAAACATGGTGGCAGCTGAAAAATTGAGGGTCATAATTATCTTGGGTAGAATACACCCCGGAGAATCGCCTACATCATACGTTTGTCAAGGTTTGATAATTTATTTATCCTGTCGATGCCCATTTCGGGACAGGAGAATCAATAACACATTCTTCATGATTTCTAAACTTTAAAACTAATTCTTTTTTGTCAAAAATAGTCGCCATCGGAAACACGCATAGTGTAATCAAGTTTAAGAATTAAATAGGCTAAACGATAAAAGGTACATTGCAATGAGATTCTTCCTTGTTTGACTAGAGACTAAACTGTTTCAATTTTTTCCTCCTTGTTTTTTTGTTGGGGGGGGGGGGGGTAGGAGGATGAAGAGACTTTGACGAATACACTTTTTTTCATTCTTCTTCGTAAGAATGTTTTATTTTTGTAATAATTAAGCTTTCTTACAAGAGAAGTAACGGTATGTGACTTATTTTATGTGTCGTTTTTTATTTAAATTTTCTCAAGTTCGCAAAAGACGAACTTGTGGAAACTTTTTCTAATTTTAATCATATAATACAAATTACCTTCAAAAATGTTCTTCATGAGTTATCGTGAGTCTTGTTTACTTCAAAGGGGTTACTGCAGACTTTTATGGGGAACATGTATTAAATTTATGGTAATCTGCGACCTCAGCAATGAAATTTTCATGTCTTTGACTCAATTATAATGTGCGAGTACAATATTCATATAGCGCAGTTTTCATGGTTTCATGTTCACTCCGTTTTTCTGTTTGCAGTATTTTGTTGTACGATTGTAATCAATTTTTTCAGGAATCATCGATTTCTTGATTAGCAACCATCCGATTGCGCAGACTTTGAGAGAGCATGTTGTTTTCAAAATCATCCCCATGATGAACCCTGATGGTGTCTTCCTTGGAAATTACAGGTTCGTTGTTTACAACTATTGATTCGATTTCATCCAGTCCAGGGGCGTAGCTAGGAAATTTCTCGGGGGGGGCATGGGACCACCTCTCATGGTGAAGAGAGCGGGGGGGTGAGGAATGGAGGATCCCGTTTTTCTAGGGGGGGGGCACGAGATTTCTGGGGGGGGGCAGGCCCCCCCAGGACCTCCCCTAACTACGCCCATGATCCAGTCTCACATTTACGGATGCGCTGATTTTAAAGGCTCACTCATTTTTTGTAGACTCTGAGAAGTTAATAACACGATAGTAATTAGAAATTGATTTGCAGGTCAACTCTGATGGGCATTGATCTAAACCGAGCGTGGCATCAAGTCTCCGAGTGGATTCATCCGACTCTACATGCTACTCTTTCTTTCATCAATTCCTTGCATCAAGACAAGGTATTCACCCCCAACTCCTCTCTTTTAAACTAAATTTCATGGCATTCAGGAATAGCATATAGCAAAATAATATGCACCCAAGAAGTGTAAGAAACATTCACCATCGAGCTTTATTTTTATAATTAGAAAAATAAGAAAGATTAAATGGGACTCAGCAGCACAAAATGTGCGTTAAAGTTGAGAAAATTAATTAATTACAAGGAATACTGGCAGAACTATTTAATCGAAATTACAGACTTATTTTTAACTCACAGGTGAGTTCTGTAACTTTTTTAGTTTGGAAATAAGAGCTTTAATATCAGGAATCGAATATCAGGAAAGAGTTGCATCTCTTTTTCTAAAAGTCCCCATTACGAGGTACATGCTTCTTTCATCGTCGTGTATTTGTACTACACTGAATATAACACTTTTGTGATTTTTTTTGCAGAATTTGGAATTAGATTTCATATTGGACCTCCATGCTCATTCAAGTTTGAAGGGCGTGTTTGTGTATGGGAACACATACGATGACGTGTACAGGTATTTATGCCGGCCTAGAGATACAATGTTTTTAAAGACATAATGAAGAGCAAGACCAATCCACACAGGTCAGTCATTCCTGTGGACGAGTTTTGGTACTCTACTGCGCAGTGACGTAGTATTGAGAGCTTGCAATGTATTTCTTATGGGAGCACCCATTGTGACGTACTATTGAGTGCAGCCGAGTTAGGGCCGGGCGGGGAAGTGGCTCTCAAAAAGATGCGCAATGATTGACCTGTGTGGATTGGTCTTGATGAAGAGGAGCATGCGGTATTGAATTCAAGATTGATATATACAAACTACGTATTGAAACATTGAGACTGCATTTTGCAAAAATTCACTAACATCATTATAATGCTTATAAGCTATATGAAATCTCTTCACGTTCTAGGAAAAATCTATCGAAATAATTTTTTTATAAAACACACACTTAATTATGTTAACTCTGAGGCGTGAACTCGCAATGTTCCGCCCTTTTGCTGCCAATAATGAGGCGTCTCTCAGATTTGGAAGAAAGTTAAATAACGAATCCCGATTGCGTTCCTCCTATCTTCGGCTATGCTGATTACGTAGCCTTTGAAGCACCACTAAAAATAAGACAAACGAAACCAGCATGATATGGACTAGAGCATGACATGAAATAGAGCAAGGGAAAGGATGCCCGTTGTTGACGGCGCAGAGATACAACTATTCGTGCGTGATGGATGTCCGTGTTGCGTCTGCGAAATTGAAGGCGCGATGGCGCTAGGCGTAAACTCGCAATGTTTTGCTCTATGCTGCCAAATGAGGTGTCTCATCATCTCAATGAGGAGTTTTATTTCTTCTAATTTGATGTTTGTTCTTTTTTTACGATGCATTTTTTGATCTATATTTATTTAAATCCCGTTTGAACCGGCCCACTAAAAACGCGGAGCACTAGGATTTTTTATTACACGGGATTTTCAGGAAGCCGTGGGTCAATTTGACACGGCTTGAGTATTTGGGGGTTAATTAAATGTGTTTTCATTTGTTGAGCTCGTAGCTAATTCATCGTGAAGAAAGAAAACGCACTTTGCAACACGCCCTCTTAGTGCTGTATTATTGTTTTTACACCAAAGTTTATCCACTGGTTTTTGCGAGATACTAATCATTGCGGGAAGATTTAATGCACATTCATGATTGCTATGTTTCTTCTCCAAACTTATTTAAATTGAATTTCGTAGAATTCAAACTTGTCTTGCTGCTGACTTTTAATATTAATTGATTCACCTAAGATCCTCGACCATTTAAGTTCAAGGGAACGGGGTTGATTGTGTCATGAAAATGTTTATTCCTGTAGGAAAAGTGAACTAAGACATTCCACGATACAAAAAACGGAACCCAGGTGAAATTCATGATTAATGGTGAAAGGTTGATAGGAGTGCAGAGGAAGGGCGTTCAGTCGTTTTGCGGTCTTATCTGTTTTGAGCGCACGCCAACTTTCCGCTTCAGTGGACTCCATTCTGCATGCAGCAATGGCTTGGATCAAAATTTGAAGGAAAACTTTAAAGATAAACCCGAATGCCAACATTTTCTCCAATCAAATTAGCTCAATTAAACCATACAGAAAAAAAATAAAAAAAGATGAAATTTTGCAGTTTAAAGTTTCAAACAATTACGATTATATCATCCATCAAAATTAAAGCGGTAAGAGCCAGAGTGGTTTAATGGCATTGCTATGTCGCAAAGTTTTCACTAAGAAAGAATCATTTTATTAATCAATAGGGTCGTGTTTGTAAATTAGAAATTTTAAAACATTTTTGCCAAATGACATATTAAACAAAAAATTAAGAGAAAAATTTCCTCCGTTCATTCTGAGGGAAGGAGGGGGGGACTTGAGCGATGTTTCCGTTTAAATGAGAAACATTCCTCAATTTTACAGAAAAGTAAAAGCAAGTTGGCTAAATAGCCAACTATCCTGATGGCTTGTGTATTAAAATGACCCATGATAAGCGGTTTTTGTCCTGATGGAGAGGGAAAATTAAATATAAAATTTCAATCTTCCAAAGGTTTCATATTCTACGAACTTTAAAATAAGCTTGGCAATGAAGGATATTGCAAAAATGTAATACAAGACGTTAGAGGCTAATCAAAAGACTCCAAATGTATGAACCCACACTTTTCAATTCACTCAAACTCAAATGCAATCCGCAATGGCTCTTTGCTCTTGGCTCTCAAAAGTCTCTCAACTCACAAGTAAGAATGCCCATTGAGATTTAAGTAATTAATAAGATCATAAGATCATAGGCCAATCATAAGTCTATGTCTTATGTCTTTATTATTCTTCAGTTGCTAAAATAGAGAAGAAAAAACCACATCAGGTATCAAAGCGTATTGCTAAAACTTGATCTGTTCATTTTGCCATTATATTTTGAATAATTTGGCATCGATAGCGGAAAGTAATAATTTTGCCTCACTTTATTTCCTTTCCTATGGAAAGTTTATCTGGAAAGGGGAGTCAAGAGCAATTTTCCTCGGACGCGTCACATTAATCATCTCTATTATTCATCCTAAAAGACCAAACTCGGCGAAGGGTATTGGAAGGAGTTTCTATTTTCAACTGGAGCGAATTTTAGAAGAGCAGGTTTACATGAATGGGACAAACAAGATAAGCGAACAGATTTCAGTGATTTACTTACCATAGTATGAGATTCATTGATTATAATCAGCATCATTGACATTCATTTGCGTCAGACCATCTATTGGCTGTAAGACACCAGGGGGTCGAATTTACCATTCAATGTTAAAATGATTTTTTGGTGTGCCGTAGACGTAAGTTAAAGATTCAGACTCCTATATACTCTTATATTCATTTATAATATATCACCGTGAAATAGCAAGCTCACTCGGGACACAGGGACACACACAAAACAAATCAGAAATCTTTACCGAACGGGAGGAGGTCACTGTAACGTCATGTCAAATCGCCTTCAATTTTTAGTATAGGCAGCACTAGCTCCCACGTGGTCGAATAGTGGCATCATGCTCCTTAAGATAGTCCAGAGAGTTTCTGTCGGCGAATTCATTTTAGACCGGAGACGATAGCATAAGTAGAGAATGGAAAGAGAAAGGAGGAGGAGAAGAAGAAGAAGAAGAAGAGGAGGAGGAAGAAGAAAGAGAAATATGAAAGAGGTGGAATAGTAGTATCATCGTGAAATTTCACGCTTACTCGGAACATATATTCCAAAGGAGGGCCTCAAGTCTTTGGAAAGTCTACAGGACTTTTGAACGAATTCAGACAAAGACTCGGAATTTTTCGGTGGTCCTGTGACCTTTACCACAGGAGCAGTAAGTAACCTTAGGGTAGTAGGTAGCAATGTAAAACACTTTCGCTTACCTTTTTTTCTCCTTCTTAATTATTTTCTCATCTTCCGCTTCACTTATCTTCCTATTCTTCTTCTTGCTCATATACTCTCATTCCCTTATTTTTTCCCCCATCTTCATTCTCTTCTCATCTTCCACCTCTACCTCTTTTGTTCAACTCTTTTTCCTCTTCGTCAAGTTCTTCCTTCTCTTTTATTATTCTTCTTTTCTCTCGTTCCTCCTTTTCATTCCTCCTTTCTTATTCTACTTTCTCTATTCTTCTGTTTATTATTTTCCGTCTTCTTTTTTCCTTTTCATTTTCCTCCAATTTTATCATTTTATGTCTACGACGATTTCGCCCACAGAGACTGTCGGACCATTATCGGAAAGATACCACACTAAAGAGTTTATGTTGCTTACCTTGAAAATTAAAGGCAAACGGACATGACGTTGAAGTTATCTCTTCCCGTTTGATAAAAACTCTCATTCGTCTGTGACTCGAGTGAGCGTGCCATTTCATGATGATGCCACTATTCGACCACGCAGGAGCTTATGTTGCCTACACTAAAAATTGAAGGCAAACTGACATGGCGTTGCCGCAAACTGCAACCTCTTCCCATTTGATACAAAGAGCTATAATTTGTACCTCAACTCGTTGCTATGAAATAATTTAATAATTTATCTTCTGCAGGTTTGAAAGGCACATCGTGTTTCCAAAACTTCTGGCACAAAATACAGACTGTTTTGCACCTCAGAATACTATGTTCAATCGGGACTCCAACAAAGCAAACACAGCAAGGAGGTGAGGAACTTGAGTCAGTTTGATTTCATTTTCAATAAGCATAACCATAATTAAACTATTGTGATCTAATCCTCCCTGTAGAGTATCCCGCTTGTCGTCTCTATGTTCTTCCTTTTCATCAGCTGCAAATTGTGTTCACGAGGTGCAAACTTTTCTGCAAACTAAAAAAAAGCTATAAATTTTGCTAACTGTTATTTTCCAGGTATCTCTGCGACGTCCTAAAGGACAGTGTCAATTGTTACTCAGTTTTGGTTTCCTACTACGGCTACAACCACCCTGTCACCAATGAACACATCTCTTTCACAGAGGAATCTTGTATCCTTTTATCAGTCATTCTTGAGCATCATCTCCCAGGTTAAAAATAGTTTTTGTTCAACTTCAATGTCAATTTTTTATCCTCTTGTCACAACGCTCTTGTCACATGCCCACGGCTCATGAGTTAGTATATTTTGGCGCTTAATTCCTTTTAATTTAATGTCAAATCCCTCGTTTCCACTTTGCCGAAAGGAATCACGCCCACTTTTACATTGCTCCCTATGCAGCTTGCACGAGCCAGTGGCGAGGCGTGAATGATCAATTATTGATATTTCCCCATTAGAAGCTATGGTAAAGAATCGATTATTAAGGTGTTCGTCCCAAACATCCTTTTTATCGATCCTTGTCCATAGATTTAAATGGCAGATTAATCGATAAATCGCAAAGTACGCCACACCATTGGAGCACATCTCATCTTTCACACGTCTCTAGTTCCTTTTAGCATAAATAATGGGTCCAAGAATCAGGCGTAAGTCACTTTCGTCGCAGAGACCCAAGTAGCACGGTGCAACGAAAATATTGAAATTAATTTGCTATTTGATTAATAAAATTGTCATTTTTACCATTAATTTGCAATATTTTTACATTATTTAGTCAATTTTAAACAATCAACAAAATGAACTCAATGTGTCAGAAAGATAGGCAATACGCAGTGCAATGAAAAATTGCAACCTAATTCAATTTCATTGCAATAAGTTTCAATAAATGGGGCCCCTTCAAAAAGAAGCTAGGCAACATACACAACGCGCAGTGGAATTGCAAAATGCTTACAATGCAATTGCTACTTACTGCGATCTGTGCTACTTTGGGACAAGAGTTTCCATCTCTGCCGTGATAGCGAAGAGAGCCGTAAGTGCAAAAATGAAGTTTTGAGAAAACGGGCTCAGAAGCTTCTGACAAGAACATTTTATTGAAAGAAGCCTCCGTTCTTTGTCAAATTGCCACTAATCGTCCCGGAAGACTCCTAGAAATCGTACGGATGATTAAAAATCGACTGATTTTATTTCCATTACATAAAAAGGGTATTTTTCATTTTCATGCTAGGTTATTGTTAGGCAAGACAGCCGTAAGTGCTATCTTCTGCATGCTTTCGTGGTTGCGTTTTGGACGCACAACAAACACATTTTCAGGTTAGAAATTGGTAGAAGAGGGCGGCACTTTACTGGAAAGCACTGTTCTCATTGGCCTCTCATGCATCTACGGCTGTCTTGAAAAAAAAACTGTGTCATTTTTTGTGCACTTACGGCTTTTACATACGTTACGTTTTCATTAAATTAGGATGAATTCTGCTGTTTTAGCTGTCTCAGTAATTTCATCTAAAAGAGCTTAGACGAATTTTGAAGAAAACTCGATTTCGAAAATTTTGCACTTACGGCTCTCTTCGCTATCACGGCAGATCTGCTAACCCATCAATTTTTACTTTCTCGCTCCCCTAGGGTAGAGAGGAAGTATTGTCATCCTCCAAGAAAAAAAAGTTGAAATTTCATCATTTCCAGACGTTTTAAGGTCCTAGGAATCAAAATAACCATACTTGAAAAAATGTGTGTCCGTCCGTCCGATGTCCCCCAAATCTGTGTACAGCGATATCTCAGAATCTATCTGTTCGATTTCATTCAAAATTCTCACAGAACACCATATCTATGGTCTTCTTATGCACGTTAAACGATTTTGAGGTACTCTAAAATTTGGGGGAGGGGGATACGCTAAATTGTCCATTTTTTTTCTTAACCAAGACATCAGACTATCGGCTCGGCCGTAACATCGTTCAAACCTACCTCGAATACTACAAAGTAACCGGCGTGATCCACGTGACGGAGCAGCCCAAGACGAAGGTCAAAGTTCGCAAATCTCCTCTCCGATTCGGCCGGAGCTCGCACCGGAAGTCCCGGACGAGGAAAAAGAAGAGACACCTGAAGCCGGAACCGAGGAAGAAGGAAACTTCGGCAAGCGACACGAATGCGACTTCTGGAGACGAAAATGAAGCATCCTGTAGCAGCAGCAGCGAGGACGACGGATCCCCAAGCGCGGTTCCCTGGCGCCCTGTCCCCCGCATCAGGCCACACACGTGTCTCCCCCCTCGGCCCCCGAAAATCGAAGTCGAGGAGCCCCTGAGAACTGCTGAGCTGCCACCTTTGTCACCTCCGAAATTGTCAATTATAGATTTCAATAATCTTACCAGGCTCGGTGTGGATAGGGCGAATGGGAGAGGCAAATCCAGGAAAAAACGCAAATGACGAGGAGCCCCTGAGAACTGCTGAGCTTCCACCTTCGTCACCTCCGAAATTGTCTATTATAGATTCCAATAATCTTACCAGGCTCGATTTGGATAGGGCGAATGGGAGAGGCAAATCCAGGAAGAAAACGCAAATGAACATTGGAAAATATAGATTTGGGTGTAGGGTACACGCCAAATGAGGGGCTCGGAGGACAAGGCGCATAAATGCAGTTTTTGCCGTTTCGAGAAATACGTGTTTGCAGTTTCGAAATTGCATGGCTTCTTATGGTGGAAAGAGAGTTCAAAAGTGACTTTTTGATGCATAAAAATTGAAATTTGGGAGCGAGTTTTTCTCAGAATATGCATTGAGACTATAGTCTTATTTGAAATCATTGATATATGAATTTTTTCGGAAACTGCACTTAAGCGCCTCGTCCTCTAAGCCCATCACATGGATCGCGTTAAATAGGAAGGAACCCAAGCCACACCAACTATTGCCAGCCAAATTTAATTGGGCAATTTAATTTTTTGCGTGTAAATGGATGTGCGAATTTTTGTGTAAATTTCAGTGAATTTTCTGCATTTTTGGGAGCGGATTCTTCCACATTTTCGAAGGAATCCGTAAAAACATTATCTTGTATAAAATTAAGTTGCCTAGTTATAATTTTGGTACTAGCTGATATGGCTCGGTTACTTTTCTGCTAAGCATGGTCCAAGTAAGTTTGAACCTTTTCATAGAAGGGACGTCCACCATCTCGATTCTTGTTTTTTCCTCCAGCTAAACTGAGACTGGTTGATCTTCTATCCTGGTTTCAAGGTTCTTATATACATTTATCGGTATGGACTAAAAAATGAATTGCATGATCGTCTGAGATGGGAGCACAATTCGTCGCTCCATTGACGCAAGTATCTTAATTCCCACCTGCATGAGCTCTGGTTTAAATATAAATCCATGCTTTCTGGGGCTCACGTGCAAAATTGAGATACGCCCTTGCATAGGAGGAGCTACGAACTGTCATAATACGTAAATATGATGAAAATGGTAAACTTTTCACAATGCTTGATCGGGAAAATTTACTATATCAGTACAGAATATACCTACTTCATGCGTAAAATGAGTTTCAACAGACTTAATGTGCATCTAGAGATGATTATTATACTGAAGATTCACTGGTTGATCAAGTAATAGATGGTTCCTAGTTTTTAATAAGATTTTGTAAAAAAATCCCTGCAACCTAAATCACTCTATAATACGTCAGGTATATACGTCAGGTATATTTTGATCAATTTTGAATTAAATTAAGAAGTAGGTTCCAATTATCGCGAATTATTATTCCCTCTCGATGCACCATCGCAATAACTTTGGCCTTAATTTTAGAGTTACTTCAGACCACTTAAGCATCAGTTGACGTTAACTCATGATTTTTTTCACTTTTAAAGAGTTGTCCGTCCTTTGCGAAAATAATTTTGTATGTTTGTACGCAACAAAGGGGGGTGGGGACTTACGTTTCTTCCAAATAGTATTAGTGAACTTTGATTAGTGAGGTGAAATTTTGTTTTTTTAAAAATACATCATGTGTTTTTTATCATGTCTCGTTATTTATTTATCGATCTCCGAAATTTTTCAATTGAGCAGTTTTTCCAGCCTATCCAATTTCTATAAACAAGCTGCTGGTTCCAACACTACTGTGTTGGAGAGCTCGCCTTTGGGAAACTATTAACAACTATTAATGATTTTTTCTGAAATTGTATATGTATTAAATGAATCTTTACCCAATTATCAGAGGTTACATGCCGATGCAAAATGTTATGACGTAATTTCATATGACAAATTTTTCACATTACAATAAATAAAGAGAAATAAAGAGAGAGAAATGGAATTATCTTTTATGAATGTGATTTTGCGGCAAATGTTGCAATGGCTATTTTTGCCATCGCATTTTTGTTTCTGGCTTTCATCGTTGATAAGCTTTTTCTTAACTTGTCAACAATGTAATGAAATCATATGATTTAATTTTAATTTTTTTTTTTAAATCAAGTCGCCAACTTGAATTAAGGTTATACTTTGTTAAGCTGGCAGTCTGGAATTCTGAATTTTAATCGGCACAGAGTTCAAAGAAACTATAATTTAGCACGGTTTGGAGGAACGTTTCTGCCATAATTCTTACACAATACTTATGGTATACACTAAGAGCTGAAAAGGAATTCACTTGAATTTTAGCGTGGAGCTCGAGAGACCACTTCAAGCCTTTGTATGCGAGTGGCTCAATGGAGCACATCACGCCTTTGTAGGTATGGGGTGGCTCAATGGAGCACCTCGCGCACTATAAATAGCACGGAGCTCGAAAGAGCACTTCATGCATCTGTATTTTAAGGTTAAAACGAACTCTAAAGAAACTCAATGCGAGGCTCAAACGAATTCTCAAGCATTCTAAATGCGAGGCTCAAACGAATTCCCAAGCATTCTTGATGCGAGGGGCTCAAACGAATCCTAAAGCATTCTTAATATGAGGTTTAAACAAACTCTGAAAGGATCCCAATGCGAGTCTCAACCGAGCTCTCAAGCATGCAATTATTTTGAGGTTAATTAACCTTCTATGGTACCAATAACGGCAATCTTAAGGATTATCCATTAATTATGCGCAAATCTCAATCTTAGTCTTAGTAACTTAAAATTAATTGAACAAATTATTAAATCACGTCGAGGTCACCATGTTTTTTTATTTTAAGAAATAATAACAATTGCAAGTACAACTGCACACAAAAACTGCATTGAAAAGATAAGAGGATGATAACATACAATTAGGTTATTTGATATAAAACCATAGCAACATGCTATGATATGCTCGGCCACTGGAAAGTGCTGCTCTCTAGTGTAGCAAACGAGGAACAATTAATCCTCAGTTGAATGAGGGAACGGAAATGTTCGACGGAGGAAAACTGTAACCCGCGAAAATTCAACTTTTAGACCTTGAAATCAATGGGATTTTGGCCGTTCCTCCGACGGCAACGAGAACCATCCATTCGTCGCCACGGACACTACCAATGCTAAAAGAAATCGATCGCAAAGAGCTCTCCCGAGTGGGCGAGCTCAAAAGAAGTAATTTGTTGTACCAGAGGGATCTGGATCTATCTATTAAATACCGATTCTAACAAATTTTTCTTTCGACCTTAGCCTAACCTAATCTGAGGATTTGCCAAATTTGATCAGATATGACAAGCCTTTGAGATTCCTCGCATTTTTTTTTTTTTTTTTTTTTTTTTTTTTTTTTTTTTTTTTAAAAGAAAGGTTTTGGTTACATATAGTCGCTGCAATCTGGTTTTTATTTGTTCCATTGCGCAGTCATTCACACCCAGCTCAGCTCCACCTCCCTTCGCCCCCATCAAAGTCGAAAAATTTCTCGGATCGCCTCCCGATATTTTTGAGGCCTCATGATATCCACATACGGTTCATATATTGGTTCATATTTTTGACCGATCATATTTTCTGGGTAGGAACTCCTCAGGCTTGGCTGTAAAAAATCTTAGTGAATATGTTTGTGAGGATTGTTCGATGGCACAAATACCTAAATAAACAAAAACTCCAGGAGGAACATTTAAACCGAATTTTCGTCGACACTTTACTAAGTAATTTATGCGAGAACTTTGGGTGGGCCTCCTTTAAATACTTCATCACTGATTCATTTTTTTAAGGACTCAGTCCAGCACTGGTACATGCTCCAATTTTTGAAATTCCCGAGGTATTCCGGATCATTAGCATTTTCCGGAACTTTCTCGGAACTTTTGAAAAAATCTAAAAAGAATCCCGGCACTTTCGACGGTCATGGAGTGGGAGAAATTGGAACAAAAAAGTTCCGAGCCCCGGAACTTTTGACGGACATGGAATCGGAACACTGGTAACGTGAAACACATTCTTTACAAGCTTTAGGTCCTGCCGCATCGGGCGCTGAATTAACCGTAGGTTGATTTGCATTTCTGACTAGACTTTACTCTAGCTTTCTAGCGAAAACAATGAATACATATGTAGAGAGATACGCCCTCGAATTTTTCCTGAAGTGACCGTGATGACTTTGCCGCATTCGTCATTTTTTGATCAGAGAAGCTGGGTAGGGGCCGTAGCTTACATTTTAGGACAACATTTTCGTACGATCAAAACATTGATCCGAAAATTGACAATTTCGCGTCAAAAATCAGTGTTAGTTCACCTCAATGGCACAATAGGGAAAGCTGGATTTTATTGTCAGTCACGTAGGAGAAACAAGCAAATCGCCCTTAGTTAGTGTCGAATATGAAGAATACTATACGTTTCATTCTAATCTCTGGATGCAACTAGTCGGGCTCCATGCTGCCATGCTAAGGAAGAACACCGTATGATTATTCGAGAGTTGCCAAATTTCCTCGAATAAAACGCGTATTTTTAAGGAAAGTTATTCTTATTTTTCCTCGGAATTTTCAAATAATTTAGGTAAAATTGAGTTTAAAATTGCTCGAAAATTCGAAGGAAAATTATTAGCATATTTTCTTGAAAATCCGTATTTTATCTAAAGAAATTTGGCAATGTCTAAAGGTTTATACGACGTTTTTCCTCAACACGGCTCCATGGACGCCCGTGTTGCATTCGCACAGAAATGAAAGCGTTTTGGCTGTCCAGGCACGCGCCATTTCAACCGCCAATTGCGGGCTTTACTGCGAGGATCCATAATGGCACAGTGCTTCCAATTGTTTGTGTATACTACAAAAGATATGTCTTGACACGAATAGCTTCATGCTGGCGGAGGATATGAGTGTATTTTGTTTTTCATTGCATCCTTTTTTGAATCCTCTGTTTTTATTTTGGGGTAATGTTTTGATGGTCGTGTAAAATTATCTACGTCACGTCACTGTGATAAAATGGAATTAGCTCAATTGAAGTGGGCACTGGCAACATGTGAAAAATTAAAATTCAATCAAAATCAATTTTATTGTTCATTAGTATATATCACTTAATATTTGTCAGTGATTGTCTACTACTGTATGTGCGCGGCTAAAAGTTCCTTCAAAACTTTGAATGCAGCACATATTCTCAGGTATGAGAAAGTGTATCTTCAGTAAATGAAGGCGCTTTTTGATCCACAAGGCGACGACGCGACATGATGCATCGCCTCGCTGGATTGACCGAAGCGACGGACGTGACGGTAACGAAGAACTTGCGGGTAGACTGTGGTCTGTGGCATGCCTTTTAGTGTTCCATTCTTTTTTTTGTCATAAATGAGAACGGATATTTTCAAACAATGCAGGCAACATACGCGTTTTTCCTGAGTCATCGTCGAACTATGATTAGACTCTCAACACTATGTTGAGCACGGAATCAGTTTCCAGATTTATCGCAGCTCATTAGCTAATAACATGCACAGTAAAAGCAAATACTATTGGGGTTTTCCAGTTTTTAACTAGAAAAGCGCTCGTATAATAATGCGAAATGTTTTATTAATCTTTCGTCATGTTGAAATTTTTGAAAATCAACAAAATATGTCCACAGCGTCGAGCCCACATTCAAACCGGGGCTCTCAAACTGGCACCAATTCTTCTATTTCTTAGCCATTTCTGCACGGAATTCCATGAAAATTTCAAGATCTGATCTGTGATGTATCCCGAACACATCGGTTACCTTCAAAGATTGTCGGGCCGACGATTTTTGAAAGGCACCAGTCAACAGTTCCATCGATGAGCCTCTTTGAAGCACCTAGTTTGAAGGTGGGCTGGATGCTTACCTTTCCGATGGAAAAGCAGAACATACATCTTCATACGTTAGTCATCAGCTGTGACTCTTGTTGTGGATTTGTTGATTTTTGTTGATTTGCGAAGTCAATGCCAAATTTCCGAAACAGAGTGGCTCAATTTTGCTGTATTTCTTTCGCATGCTAAATCACGTCAAATTTCTGTAGAATAGACGTCGCAGAAAATAAATACGCGCAAATTCATCCTATGTCATAATGTAGTTTTTGTTGTAGACAATCCCAAGAGGACCTCTTAGTTCCGAATGAGGTTTCAATTTGGCAGCATATCAAATACTTTAAGACAATGCTCTGTACTACTAATACAGAAAAAAATAAAAAATAAAAAAATATATATGCAAGAAATGCAGGGAGCAAAATTATTCAGCCCGCGTGGAGGGGTGTGGATGCTGGCTCTATGTGGCATAATACAAATTTTTTCATGCCAAATTTTGATTCATTCTTCCAAAATTCAAGTGCCGTGACGAGCTTTTAAATGAACCCGCGAATTTATGAAATTATATATTCCGCATCGAAATTTCCGGTCATCAAATCTAACCTACTTCATGAGGAAAGGAGTCCAAGTAGGTACGGGTGCAGATTTGTTTTAGGCAAGTTTTGGAAAATATTTATATAATACATACGTAGAACTACATAATCCGTGAACATATGTATACAAGTTGCTTGTTTCTTCCCTGTGAAAGCTGATGCTGGGGAAGCATTTTTAAGTTATTTTTATTGTTGAGCAGAGGACGTCAACAGCCACTGATCTGAGACTGATCTGCATACACGATCTACCCATTGTTCGGTTGCCAGCTGCTGATTGTTAGCACAATTCTCTGATTTTTTCCTCATGTTGTCCGCAATTTTTTGTAAAGACGTAACTTTCCCGACATTTAACAGATGGTTAATTAACGATTAAATGCTCCCAAAAAAATATAATTGCTGGAAAGCTACTGGTTAAGCTTTCCTCTAACATAAGCAGAAAAACTTAAGGAGATTATGCAATATGTTTAAGTGAGTTTTTTGTTTTTCTTTGGTATTAACTTACATTTTTTTTTTCTTTTATTCTTTCGAGGTAATGGTGGCATTGAATGTCATGAAGCACTGAGGTTTTAAACCCTAAAATTCTGCGGAAGGGGAAACAATTTTGCAGCGGTAACACATTTGGAAATAGAAAACAACCTAAAAACAATACCGGAAACAGGAAAGTCTGATCAAAAACAACAGCCCTGAGGCCTCATTTAAAAAAATTGAATTTCAGGAGTTGCATTTTTTTCTTGAAACAACAATTGCCTCTAAATTTCTAATTGCAATAGCTGGTCTCTAAACATTTCAATTTATCAGTTAGAAAATCTCAGACTTTAAAAATGTCTAAAAAGGTACCCAGAATGCCGACGAAATTTGGATTAACCGTGTCGGATGCTCTCATCCATTGGTGCTTTATATAAATTTTAGAAATGCGCCCACGTCGTAGTGCTTCAGTTACAATTTTTTACCAAAGCAGCGAATATAATAATTTAACTGATGATATTTCTTCGCTTAGTAGCTTCGAATCTGTAAAGGCTACTAAATGAAGTCATTCTCTAATGCGAAGAGAGGCAGACGTGAAATTTTGAACTAGAAATCTGATTTTTACTTTTACAACCAAGCGCCTGGAGCGCGTTTCCTCCCGTCTATCGGCAAGGTGATTAGCTATCGAGAGAAGTGACGCCTACTGATCAAGATTGTTTCCATTGAAGAACATTCAATGCATAGTTGATTACGATTGGGTCAGGTGCGCGTTGCAAATTTCTTCGCACAGTGATTGGACAGGTAGTGCAAATTTAAACATTTTATTTATTAAATTTTAAAGAACCTAGGATATCGTACGTAGAAATTTTCGGTGTGTCCCGAATATCTTTATCAAGAAAGTTGAGTAATTGTCGTCAGTGTCTCGAGTGGTATTCCCTGCTCATTGGACGTTTAATATTTGTGAGTTTTGTGCTGAAACTTCAAGGTGCAAGTACCAAACCGCGTTTCTCGTTCGACTGTTTGGAAATGTATGCTTTTATATTTTATTTTTTCAAAAAGACACCGCTTCACATTTTGCGCGAAATATTCAGAGAATACTGTTGAAAGAACAAAGAAAAACCAAACGAAATTTTGTGCAAAACTATGATTAAGGCCTCCTCAAAATATTAAAATGTGACAAGACCTTCGCAAAGCAAGATACGTGGTCTCGTACTTATACCATCGATTTTAAATCCTAATTATTTTACATTTAGGTGCTTCACTACACACGTATTTACTGTAGCTTTGTTTTTTTAACGTAAATTTTTAACGAGTCCATTTAATGTTACTATGGCCTATTAAACGGTCAGCTTGTGCATGAAATGTTTTTTTCATCTCTAACAAAACGATCCCCCTTCCCTTCGTCACTTTAGTCCATGAGAAAGTCAAAATCGAGAAGTACGTTGAAATGTAATACAAAATGGATTAGCCTTCAATTGAAGAAGTAGGCAAAATTAGCATTCACGGTGCAGCAATAGTGGTATTGCAATAATGAATATGAACCATGATAAATCCCAACCATGGACATCGTTCTGTGCAAGATGGATTCTTTTAACGTTTGGGCGGACTTTTTATTTTGGTTCTCAAATGTGTACATATGTATTCCTGTTTCCTTAATAGATTTGAACCGAAGACCGTTGCAAATATTTTTAAGAAAGTTGAGCATATTTTTTTTAACTTAAACTAAGGATTCATGAGTAAGATGTCTAATTACACGACACCAATGGAAGACAATGAGTTCATCATTGTAACTAACATAAACATAATCAACTATGGGGAAAAATCTGTTTTTCTCCGATGTATTTCAGAATATCGAAAATGTAGAAACAGTCCTTTATTAGCTACGTCCTAAATATTTCACTTTTTCTTTAGAGCCTTGTGAAATGTTACAGATTAACTGAAAATGAAAATTAAGTCTGAGTTTCATCCTGAGGCAAACTATTTTACATTTGCCCTGGTGTTGGCGTTTTATAGCATCTTCGCCAATGCAGCCGTAGAGTAAGTATCTTCTAATCACTATAATTTTCTACGTCATTATAAAATCCGAACGCTTATCATAGGGCCAGTATATATGGTCAAGATTCAGGGCCAGATTTAGGGGGTGGCCACATGGGCCGCGGCCCATGGCGGCAAATCTAGGGGGCGGCAAATTGTGTAATGTTTTTAAATGTAGATATAAAAAATCGGATTTAGAAAAAAAAAAATTATAAACGAGAAAAGGCGACAAAATCTCTCATTTCTAGAGAGTATGGTAATTTCTAACTTTGTCGTCTTTCAGTAATACAAGAGACAGCACGTTTAATTTGTCGAGTTAAGAGAGAGACCAAACACGCAATTTGGCCTGGAACGGCGCGACTTAGAAAGAAATGATGACGAGGGCTTGAAATGAAAAGCAGAAGCCCTCGGCGCGGCGGTCGGCATGTAACACATATTAGCGCCTACGAGACTGCATGAATACTTCACGCATTACATCAAACACAGTGCGGTCATTGCGGTCAGCGTGAAACGCATAGCGCCTAAAAGCTTGCGTGAATACTTCAAGCATTGCGTCAAACACACTGTGTTCAGCAGTGGTCGGTGTGAAACGCACAGCGCCTACAACACTGTAGGAATACTTCACGCATTGCCCCGAACACAGTGTGGTCTGCGCAGCGCGGTAGTGGAAGTTAAAATCATTAAACCACATTTATGTTTGTTCTTTCATAATTTTTTCGTTCATTTTTGATAAATGGAAGGCTCTGACCACACAGAGATATAGGTTTACGGAACTTAACTCTCTCGAAAAGTTCCATGAGCTTTTGCTAATAGTGTTAACAGGGCTTTCTCAAAAAATGTGTCCGCAACACGAACAAACGCGCCTTATGCACCCCTCCCCTCCCCCTCCGGCACGTTTACTTGATGGTTTTTTATTGATGTTTCAAAACCAATGAGAAGGGGGCGGCAAAATACAGGCGGCCCATGGGCGGCAAGTAGGTAAATCCGGCCCTGTCAAGATTTGTGGCAGAGGCAAAAATAAAGTTTTTGAGGCGAATCACTTGTACAAAAGCAATTTTAAGAGAATTCTTCAGCATCATTTCTTCCGCCCCTATCATAGTGTAGGTACTATGCATTTTCTGATGCAGGGATTTTATTTACATTCTCATCCATTATTTCGCTCCTTTCTTTTCGAACCTTTTCCTTGGCGAAGTCTCTGGCCCTTTTTCTTTTTTTCCAACTTTGAAGCTCTCTAAGCCACTTGTTGAAATTGTTGAGGTGTTCATCTCTCCTGGTTAGCCAAAAAATGTGAAGTTGTTTGAAAAATCATCACTGCAATAATTATGTAGACAAATTCTGACTAGATAACATTCACTTGTAATAATAGAGCATAATCTTATTCAACGATTCTTTAACCAGATAGTGCATATCGATGGTGAAACTGCAAAAATGTGTTTCTCGCGGCTTGTGGCATTGTAGACTTCCTCTCACACTCCATTTTTTACGTGAAAAACTACTTTAAGTCACTCTTCAGAGCTTTTTTGATTTTTTCGCTCTGTGAATAATTTTCTATGAAAATTTCAAGCCTTGATAATAAATCTTCTTGTAGTTAAAAAAAAAAAAAAAATAAAAAAAAAATAAAAAAATAAAATAAAATAAAATAAAATAAAATTGGAGCGGAGATTTTGAAACATTGCAACCACGATACGCATTTCTGCAGTTTCAGCGTGAATATAGCGGGTGCATGAAGGTGTCTGCTCATCGAGAGTTGTTTAGGATCTTGCATTAAGTAACTTTAAAAAAAAGGAAAAATTAATGAAATTTGATTTAAGATCCCGCATTTTTAATTCGTCGAACCGAAGGGTTATATTCCGATTGATTGGAAACTGTGCAAAATTAAGTCACATAACGGAGCCACTTGTGACTTTTCAGATCTCTGACGAGTGGGATTTGGGATTTCATTCATTAGAGAGAACGATCAAAATCAAGTTGTAATAATAAGTTTGCAAAAAAAAAAAAAAAAAAAAAAAAAAAAAAAAATCACTAGTATAAGCCCAATTAGCCCCATGTTCCGTAAAAACCTGAAATTATTGCTTGGCTGTATCCCAACATTAGCGTTATAATTTCAAAAGCAGTCAGCCGGCTGTGTTCTGTCCTGTCCCCGCACTTTTTCTCACCTTCAGAGAGCGGAACAATATCAGTGGCGTGGCGTGACTTGCGATGTATCGATTGTTATGCCATTTAAACCAATGCTGAAGAATCGATTATTTAGGTGTTCGCTGCGAACACCCTGTTTATCGATCCTTTTCCATAGGTTTAAATGGCATTACAATCGATATATCGCAATTCACGCCACGCCACCGAACAGTATGCGAGCCATTATCCGCCAAATTCCAAACGCGACGCTGTATCAGATACCTACTGGCAATGCTATGCTGTGTTTACGAAGTGAGCTATGACGCAGGAATGATTCGCTGGTTTGTATCGCAGAAACTTGGCTGCAGCTCTCTCATTTTTTTGTGTTCTTTTTTCTCTCGGTGTCAGAACTCGAATGCACGACATGCCGTAAATTTTTCACCTGAAAGCTTGCCAATTTTTTCGATTCGGACCACTTAATCGGGATTCCGTGCACTTATTGACGCCTAGAAAAATTATTTCATTGTATTCACCCAATGAACATGATGACCATTTGGCACATAGCATCATAACCATATACGGGAGTATGCCCCCTGGCCGCTACGCGGCCCAACCCCCAGTAGATCATAATTACATGATTGATCATGATTTGTTCATTTTCATCAATAGTAGATGGTCATATTTGTTCTCGGCTGAGACTGTTTTGTTGAAATTCAAGTCTCGCGCCATATTTATAGCGTCGGGAATTAAAAATCTGCATTTCTCCCAATGGGGTCGGCAGGAGAATACCATACAGCATACCTACGTTTTACTTCCCTCGGGGAGAGGCAACAAAAAGTGGTACAATCACAATTTTGGAAACGCACCTTGACAAACAATGCATTCGGGGTGAGGGGACTCCGAGACAAGGAGCTTCAGGATGGGAGGGACAACAGGGACATATTATGAAGTCTTCTTTAAGGGGACCTGTCTTGCAGCTCACCTTCCTGGCACGTGCCCCTTCAAACATGCCCCTAGGTCCTGGATCCGATTGCACGTGAAGCGTATCGCATCAATTAAACACGGTTTCAGGGACTCCATTCAGTCTTCCGATCGTCAGGTGCTTGTGACAAAAGTAGTCTATCAAAATGAGCTTTAACTTGCTGGAGCGGCAATTTACGAAACGTGTCGTTTATTGTTGACAAATGATCGACTTTCATTTACAGTAGTGACTTGTTATGTTAATGATGAACCTTGATTGCAGTTTATGATTTAATTTCGTTCCACAATTCTTTTGAATGACATGAGCTCAATTTCTTCGAAAACAATGCCAAAAAACCTCTAAAGTCGTTTTTTTAAACGGAGTTTCATACGACTGCTCCTATTCTCTACTCCTATTTTCTTTGCCGATCATCCATAAATACATTTTGCCATAAAACCCGCTGTCAGTGTAACCGAAGCTGAGGAATTTTACCTTTTTAGTAAGGCTCTAAAGATGGCTATAATGCCGAAAAAATGTCCAATTTTAAAATGACGAAGTTTTAATAAACGATTATACCTGTTGATCCTAAAAAACGTCATCTTAAAAAGTAGCGCTAGAGAACATCTACCGGAAATCCTAAACATTTCTGGTTGCATCAGCTGATCGCCGGAAATACTTTCTGATTGCGCGCGAAAGTTACAGCGTCAAGTCACTTCCGGCAAATATTCACTTGACGTTGTAACTTTCGAGCTAAAGCAGAGAGTGTTTCCGGCGATCAGTTGATGCAACCGGATATGCTGAGTATTTCCAGCAAATTGACGCTACTTTTTTAATAAGACAACGTTTTTTTTTAGATCAGGAGGTGTTATTGCATTGGGAAAACTTCGTCTGTCTCATTTTGAAATTGGACATTTTTTTAACAAAGCGCCACCGTCAGAGCTTTTCTGCGTTAGTATGCCCCACATCCGGTTGGCTGACAACGGGTTTTGAAATCGGGAAGAAAAGTTCTGTCGATTTTCAAAAATTTGTCCATAATTTGGAAGTGGGATACCAAAATGATAGCAACCTCCTGTGCCATACAGGTCGGTTAGGTTTGATAGTTCGGTTGCATGAACCGAAGGTATACAATTTCATGATTCGAACAAGACTCAGTATAAAACACCTTGACATACGACATTCCATTAGACATTTCATGAGACAGTTTATATTGACGGCGTTATGCAATAAGGATGATATAAGGATTTTTGATATGGAATAATGATTCTGGCTCAGTGTTCGAAAATCACAGGCGCCATCGCGCCAATTGCGCCTCAGCAATAGGTTATGGCGCCTAAAAAATGAAGGCTCTGCGCCGTCGTGGCCCCTAAAAATTGCCCCCCCCCCCCAAAAAAAAAACAAAACAAAACAAAAAAAATCATACTTTTTCTGTTTGGTGATTTTTCGAAATTTTCCCCAAGTAACAGCCACTGGTTCTGTAACTAAAACATGTTGCATCTAATTTGTCACTAAATGCGCCGTCAAATATAGGCAAAAAGTCAATTTTGCCCCTAAAAAATCTTCAATGGCCCCTAAACATCGAGCTTGATGCGGCACATGGCTCTTGAAACTCCAAGGTGCGCTTCGAACACTGTAACTGGCTCATCCATAAAAGCACCTAACTGCACAGAAAAACTAATAGCACATACGTTGCTTCCTAAATTGAATAAAAATTGTAATTCCCCTTTACAAAATGCAATCTATAAAACAGAACTTCTTTTCTCAGTGGAGGGTGGTCCCATATTGCAGATGGTGCATTGTTATGACTATGTACAATTCTGATCTCTGCATTAATTGTCACGTTGTTTTTCCCCCAAAAGTCATCAATGGACGTGGCACTGTCAAGCGGGAAAATGTGCGAAAACGCGGTTGGACCAAACGAACGCTTCCCTTAATATGGTCGGCCCAAATCTCTCTGAAAACCAATTTAGCATTAACGCCTGCAAGTTGGCCTGCGGACACTACAGCATTCTCTGGCCAAAACCCACAGGATACGTTCAGATCAGCTCAGAATTAACTCACATTGACCACAACAATATTTACTTCCAGAGCTTGTCGGAGATGGGTGCGTAAATCCCTTATTTTCCACAATATTTTAACACTGTGAGATCTTGATCCCATAAAAGGAGAGAAGAGACGAGTGGTGCGAGGTACCTTTTCAGCAGTTTCATCGCACAAGAGAAAGATTAGATGATAATATATTTTTCATTTTTTCCACAATGAAAAGTGACGATTCTATTATTTTTTACTCAAAATTGTCCCATACAGAAAAGTCAATTATGATAGAATACACACTGGAAAAAAAGTTGGATCTAGAGTCCAGACTCTTAAAAACATTGACAAGAAAAATTACTCTTGATTCAATCGGATTTTTGCTTAAATCGAGAACCAAGCCTCTTCATTTAATCAGACTTCCTTTCGATTCAAGCAAAAATCCGATTGAATCAAGAGTATTTTTTCTTGTCGATGTTTTTAAGAGTCTGGACTGTAGATCCAAGCGACTTTTTTTTCTAGTGTAGGTCCAGGGGTGGACTGGTTCACAACTTTCCAGGACGCAGGGACCAGGAATTGAGGCCATTCTTAATAAATGAAGAAAATGTTCAAAAAGACCCTAAGAGGCTCTGCGAGTTTTTTTTTAAAAAAAGCCAAATGAAGCCCCAAATTTTATCAAATGGGGTGATCACACCCTAATGCCGTAGGCCAATCCGCCTCTGAATGCTTATTGCACCCCTACCCCTCTCATAAAAATGTGCTTGTAAGTAATACCTATTCTATTTCTTTAAAACTTGAGTTAATTAGCCTCCCTCATAATGTTCAGTGGCGTGTGCTTTGCGTCCACTGGTCAATAGTTAAACCTACGGAAAAGGATAGATTATCAGGATGTTCACAACGACCACTTAAATGGATTGCATTTTGCAAAAAGGAACCACTAGCATTGCAATGTTGCTAAGATTGTGCAACTTCTTTTGTCTTAGAGCAAAACCCCGATTATCCCTGAATAGTTTCTACTTTACTCGCTAAAAACTGTAAATTTAAGACAAAAATTACCATCTAAATTTCATAGTTTTTCTCAATTTCCGCAATTTGATTGCAAAGGATGAAGTTGCACAATCTTAGCATCATTGCAATGCTAGTGGTTCCTTTTTGCAAAATGCAATCCAAATAATCCATTCTTACATTAGCTTCAAGGAGAGATTTATGAATTAGCGATTGTTCAAGCTTCAACGGTGATAAAGTTGTTTTATTATTTTAATTCTGTACCTGACTCTAATCTTTTCAGATTTGCCAGCCGAGGTTCACCACCTGGTACAAGAGCTGGGGAAGGTGTTCATCAAGAATGTCCACGCGAACTTGGTGGGGAGGTCGCGGATCGCTGAAGGAGGTCGCAACCTCCACGTCTCGATCTCCATCCAGAACCCATCCGTCACCTCCTTCACCAACGAAGCCGACGAGAGCTACGAATTGACTGTCTCGGAGCGGGGATACTCGGTACGAAATGGACTGCATTTTGCAATTTGGAACTATAAATTCTGGCCCGGTTTAAAAACAACGTATGTGCCATTGGTTTCCCTATGCACATAAATGTTTTTTCAGATGAGCCAGAATCTATAGTTCCAAATTGCAAAATGCAGTTCAAGTGTAATTTGGAGCTATCGTCCTCTCGACGAGTCATTGTGTTTGTCTACTACTTTTTGCGAATTAACTTATGAACACTAATATGTGAAGAAGAAAATTTCGTTTAGTAGATATAACCATACCATGCCGTTGAAGGATTGATTCTCCATAATTCAGCGCAAGGAACACATAATAATGCAAAAAATGACTCTTTAGCAGCAGTTCAAGATGTGAGGATGAGAAGCGGGTATTTTGTGAAAGCAGCTATGTTAAAATTGTGGACGCTGTTGCCAGTCATATGGAAGCTGTTCCATCAACACTTATAACATCATTAAGTTGCAAATTAAGGCTTGAAACTTGGTATCAATGTTCTACAGAGTATTGGAGATCGAAGTAGTAAAACCGTAGTAATTGGATCCATCTTTTTTAAATAAAGCAATAAGGGAGAATAAGGGAGAATAAGAGAGATTTTAAAACGTTGCATTTTGGTCTAGTGACTTTCACTACAAATCATTTCGCTCATGCTATACTGAAGCTTAACACGATTGATCGTGGCCATACTGCTGCTAGCAACTGGGTGAATTCAAATAAGCGTCTAATCTGGTGTCCCCAGCTGTTTTAATCGTCATAATCTGAGAAACATGGGCAGATCAAATTTTTTTCTCATTTTCCACACTATTGTTTACTATTACATGCTATTTTCCACTTTATTTGGACTGAAATAAAAATTTAGGAGAACATTGAATGTGCAAATTGCCTACATTTGTCCCAAATTTGCGTGTCCCCCGTGCCTGGTTCTTGACTTTAAATCGATGTTGCAGCATAACTAGAGTGATTATTTACGAAAACTTTATTGGAGATGATAGGTAATGCTTTTGAATTTGAGAAAAAAAATATGTCAATTTATTTTTTGCTCCATCAATAACTTTTTCACGCGCTAGAATCATTGTCCCAAGCAACAGTCAGCAACAGTCAGGAGAGACATGGCAACGATGTAATAAGCTCTAAATGATTGCCGTAACGTTGAGGTTTTTCCAAAAACGACTTTTTTTGTTTTGATTGAATAGTTCACACCTCGTAGATGGCAAAAATTCTGAAAATCGCAAATTTTTGTGCAAGATTAAATCTATTAATGATGCCAAACAGAATGCTATACACGATAACTAACAGGCCGTCAAGCATACACACACACACTAATATCAGCTCGTAAAATACTTTCGAAGTGTGCGTTAGGGAAAATTTTCTCTTATTCCGATCCTCTAGGATATGCTACTAAATATTCCGTGAAAAAAAACACCAAAATTGTCTTTACTGTTAGAGATAAGCTTAAAAAACAGCTTATTCCATCCTGTCCCGTTCCATCTTGTCCCGTTCCATCCTGTCCCATATGTTTCCATCCTGTCCCATGTCCCAGTTTAGTGGGACAGAATGGATAACTGTTACAACTGAGACTTTGCCTGCTAGGCGCTCTTTCCTACCGATTTAAGTGAAACTGCGTACCCGGGGGTATTTTTCAATGGGGAACTCGAATTTTTAGTCGAATTTTGAAAATTCGAAAATCCAAGATGGCGGACATTGCCTAAAATGCTATCGCAGCGCCTAATCGCAACTGAGGCTTGTTTGTTTAAGCCCTGTAGGCGCTCTTTTCGACCGATTTAAGTGAGACTTAGTGTCCGAGGGTATTTTTCAATGGGGAACTCGAATTTTTAGTCGAATTTTGAAAATTCGAAAATCCAAGATGGCGGACATGACCTAAAATGCTATCTCAGCGCCTAATCAATCGATTTACGCGAAACTTGGTACCCGGGGGTATTTTTGAATGGGAAACTCGAATTTTTAGTCGAATTTTCAAAATTCGAAAATCCAAGATGGCGGACGTTGCCTAAAATGCTATCTCAGCACCTAATAAGTCGATTAAAGTGAAACTTGGTACCCGGCGGTATTTTTCAATGGGAAACTTGAATTTTTAGTCGAATTTTCAAAATTCGAAAATCCAAGATGGCGGACATGGCCTATAATGCTATCTCAGCGCCTAATCAATCGATTTACGCGAAACTTGGTACCCGCGGGTACTTTTGAATGAGGAACTCGAATTTTAGTCAAATTTCCAAGATTCGAGAATCTAAGGTGGTGGCCGTGGCTTAAAACACTATCTCGGTAACTAGTCTCGGTAATCTCTTTTAATTGATTTTAATGAAACTGGACCGGAAAACCTTGGCATTAGGAAAAGAAAGGAAATTTTAATAGGGGTGCGATACATGGTTTCTTATGTATCTTAGGCTACGAAATCGAAAAATTCCTAGGTTTTTTCCATCGTGCACAGATTCTCCCGGAAGATTGACTCTGCTGGAAAAGCTAGATTTTTATGGAAAATTCCGATTTCTCCGGAAAAATTCCGAACTTTCCCGGGATAAGTCGCACTGATACAGGTGAATGGAGGTGATCTTCGGAATCAGCGCCAAAAATCTACTCCGAAACCGTTGGCAAATCTTCGGAAAATCAAAAAAAAAAAAAAAAAAAAAAAAAAAAAAAAAAAAACGTTGACCAGTGTAATTGATATGTTAATGCAACTCCTCAAACTTTTCCTGGCTTTACCTCCACTTCAGCGGGTACACGCCCACTTGAAGTTTTAAAATTCGATGTTTTTGATCAATTTTGTATTGCAATATTCCAAGAAATAAAAGCTTCTTCTCGTGTTAAAGGAAAATAGTAGGCATTTTGATAAACAGACGGAACTGTCTAAAAGCATAAGCAGAATAAGCTCCAGATATCTTTCATGACGGATGAATTTTTTTGGTTTTGTAAGATATGAAAGGGTCACATGTTTTCAATTATGCTTTAATTTAGTGCTCAACGATGCTTTTATGACAATTGCGTTCAATTTTCAATTAAAAGTATTACTTGTCACCTCTGAGATGAAAATTTGGGAAATCAGGGAAAATTAGAGCAAATTTTGGGAAGTGATACACGTGACGGTGGAAATTCGGGTTTAAGCATAACTATTAAGCTCAACGAGCTATATTTCCTAAGTCTACACCTAATGAGAGTCAAAATAAAGGTTGGTTTGCCCAAAAATTCACAAAAAAATTTTGGGAGGAAATTGAACCTGGAATTTGACCCTTATTTGAATTCACCCAACTATTGATGCTCCCGAACAGTCCACGTTGCATACTTTGATTGATGAAGGCGAAGTGGACAAATCAAGCGCGATGCTCAAAACATTGGATCATTCCGATGAAATTAAGGGAATCAAGTATGCAGTTTAACGAATAATGTTCATTTATTTTCTCTCTGTCTCTCTCTTTCCTTTTTTTGAAAATGAACTAAAATGTGAGAACCAATATACTCCTTCGCAAAGCGAGGTACATGTTTCACTTGCTAGAAATTAAAGTTCTGCCAGCTGACCTCGCTGCTTATAGCGACTCGCGTACCGACTCTGCAGCAAATAGCTTCAACTCTCTACCTTAATATTTACATCTCTCATTTATTTTGCAGTTTTTTAATGTCACACCATACCAATAATATAATCGCGTTTCTAGGTGGCAGCGACGATCAAAGCAGAGACCTACCTGGGCGTGCGCCACGGCACAGAGACCCTCTCGCAGCTGATCATCTTCGACGATCACGTGAAAGAGCTGATCATCCCTTCGGTGGTGACAGTGCAAGACCGGCCCGAGTTCCCTCATCGTGGGCTCCTCCTGGACACAGCCAGGAATTTCTTCTCCGTCGATAAGATCCGCCGCGTCCTGGACGCCATGGCCGCCTCCAAACTCAACACCTTCCACTGGCATATCAACGACGCCCAAAGCTTCCCCATGCAATCCGTCGCTTTCCCTCAGCTTACCAAGTACGGTTCATACTCCCCGGAAAAGGTGAGTCATCGGCTGTGCCCCCATTCTGTATGGCCGACAAAAGTTCCGGGATTATTTTTAGAATTTTTTCAAAAGTTCCGGAATATTTCGGGAATTTCAAAAGTTCCGGGAAAATTTCAGGAAAATCTCAAAAGTTCCGGTACATAGGAGCATTCGTCACCGGCATTTAAATAAAAATTTATTTTTTATGTTTCAAAAGTTCCGGGATTATTTTTAGAATTTTTTCAAAAGTTCCGAAAAATGCGAAAGTTCCGGAATCTTTCGGGAATTTCAAAAGTTCTAAGGAAATTTCAGGAAAATCTCAAAAGTTGGACATGGAAGCATTGGTCACCGGCATTTAAATAAAAATTTATTTTTTATTTTTGTAAAAAAATCTTATATCCTTCATTTTTTATTAAAATAATGAGTAATTTTGAGTCAATCATTCCGATAAACTGGCTTGAAAAAAAGTAACTGACGTATCAAGCACGTCATGATTAGTCTAATCGAGGTTGGTGGCCTGCGCTGCGGTCAGTGACATCTTCTCAAAAATTAATGGAAGATAAATCCCTATAAATAGCTCTTCAAGATAAATACCTAAAAAAGACTTTACACACATATATCCAGAGTTTGGAGGAATTTTCCGAAAAATATCAAACTCCAAGCTGTGATCATGTTCGGACGCGGTGAAATAATGCAAACGAGATTTTGATTTATTTCGCATCTCCGAATTGTATACCTCTACAAAATAGGTAAAACTGGGTTAAACACGACGAATAAGTTGGATTGTTTGAGGATCCGGAGAACTCATGAATGTGTATTTACGCACGTTCTTTGCTAAAAATACATCATCTTCTCTCAAGCGATGTTGATCACACAATTCAGAGCTGAGTGGTGTGGGGAGCGAGAATGTTCGGTTCTTCGTTTGAATCACTGATCCGGTGAAGATGGAACCAGTTCTTCCTGCATTCAAATTAGTTGACGCATGAAATTCGGATGTTAAGACGTTCACGACGCGACGTATGGCCGATCCCGCAAAGCTCCCTGAATAGAATAAAGCACGCTTATCCAGTACATCTCTTTTTGCGCTGATTCAATCCAAAACTAACTCTCCTTACACTTTAAAAGAAAAATTACGATGATTAGGTTGATTCAACCCTTGTGTGATTGATGAAATACATTGTTTGCTGAGGATAAGCGTTAAATGTCTCGACCGTCGAAACGCCAGCTTTATGAACAGAAAGAAATCATGTTAGGTGAAAAAACCAAGGTTATATTTAAAAATTACACATATGAGCCACCTGCGAAACCCGCGGCGTGATTTTTGGCGCAAGGCTGGAATCTCTCCTGGGAAAGTACCACACGCGTGAAATACAGGGTGATCCAGACTGCAAGAGCCGAAATATCCCCAAAACCTCTCTTTAAATTGAGTTTATAAATTCAGGGCATGAAAGTGCAGAGGAGTATAAATTTTCATGAGATTTGGTTCACAACTGTTGCCAGAATTCAGGAAAAACAATTTACTATCAGATTTTTTTTTCTTGGGGGGGGGAGGGGAGAGGCGTAGCTCAGATTGGGGGCACTTTCGGAAAAAAAAAAAAAAATATACAACAAAAAAGTCTTATTTTGACTCATAGAAGACGCTTCTGCAGTCTGGCCGTTTAATCCTGGATCACTCTGCACACCCAAAATTTCAGGTATTTTACGTAACTATCGCAAAAAAGGATGTTGGATTTCCATCTTGCTGGTTCTTTTGCCTAACTCCCTCACATTTAATGACCGATTTAAAGCCTCAGTTGAAAAGGCTTACCATAAATTCTCTGGTTTTGTATGACAGGTGTACAGCCACGACGACATCCAGAGTATCATCGAGTACGCGAAGGTGCGAGGAATCCGGGTGATCCCGGAACTGGACGCGCCAGGGCACGTGGGCGAAGGGTGGTCGCACCTCAACGACGGAAAACCAGAGCAGGACCTCTTGGCTTGCTTCAACGCCCGCCCTTGGCAGCAGTACTGCACGGAGCCTCCCTGCGGGCAACTCAACCCCACCTCGGAGCGCGTCTACGACATGCTCCTCGATATCTACACCGAGATGGGACAGCTCTTCGAGTCCGACATCTTCCACATGGGCGGCAGCGAGATCAACATCAACTGCTGGAACTCTACAAACTCCATCGTCAACTGGATGAAAAAGAGGTACCTACATTGGCGTAGCTCTTAGCAGTGGCGATTCTTGAACGTTGGCAACATTGTTTTCTCTCTATTTAAATGTATGTTAAACAATCGATTCTTGGTGAGGCGGCTTACCTCAACAATCGATATTTCCAATGGAGTTAAATTGATGAAAAATAGTGTTGCTAACTTTCAAGAACTGCCACTACTCTCAAGGGGCTAGGATGAACAAGGCTCCCGCCAGGGCCGGATTATTGGGATGGCCACATGGGCCGCGGCTCATGGCGGCAAAATGTAGGAGGCGGCAAATTTTGCAATTGTTTTGAATGTAGGTATCAAAAAAGAGAGAAAAAAATCTGATTCAGAAAATAAATTACGAACAAGAAAAGGCGACAAAATCTCTCATTTCCTGACAGTAAAAGTACAGTGATTTCTAATTTTGTAGTCTTTCGGTGATACAAGAGACAACACCTTTAATTAGTCGACTTAAGAGAGAAACCAAGCACGCAATTTGACCTGGAACGGAGCGGCGCAGCGGTCGGCATAAAACGCATAGCGCCTACAAGACTGCATGAATACTTCACGCATTGCGTCAAACAGTGTGGTCAGTAGCGGTCGGCCGTGAAACGCACAGCGCCTACAAGACTGCATGAATACTTCACGCATTGCGCCAATACAGTGCGGTCGGCGCGGCGGTGGAAGTTAAAATTTTTAGCCACATTTATGTTTGTTCTTTCATAATTCTTTCGCTCGTTTTTTATAAGTGGAAGACCTTGTCCAAACAGGGATGGGTTTACGGAACTGAACTCTTGTTAATATTGACAGGGCTTTCACAAAAAATGTGCCCAACACGAGTAAACGCGTCTCATACACCCCTCCCCCAACGGGACGTTCGCTTGATGGTTTTTATAGATCGTATTCGACAGATCACTCAGAAGAGATTATATTGATATCGATTGGTTCAATATGTAACCACAGCCTCAAAAGTCAATTCAGAAATTTGAGGTAACGGGTCTTATGTGGTCGAATTTTTATTCTCTCGAGTACCAAATGGCAATGAAAAGTGAAATTGTCAGGAATTTTCTCATTTTCAGATTTTCTAAATTAAATTCTAATATGTTCTATTGTTTTGAACCAAACGATACATCGATCCACTGTCGAATACGATCTTTTGATGTTTCAAAACAAATGAGAAGGGGGCGGAAAAATACAGGCGGCCCATGGGCGGCAAGTAGGTAAATCCGTCCCTGGCTCCCCCAGAAGATCCTAGTCTTCATCCCAGTCGATGTAATGGCTTTTCTTCGAAATAGTAGAATCTGGTTTCTTCCAGGAAAACTGCAAAATGTATACAAACCTTGAAACCGGTGCATTTTCTCGTTTCAATGCATATAGTGATGAAAAAAAGGACAAAGTCGTGAAAAGTTTTTTGAGGAGAATTGGTAGAGCTGAATCTTTAGTTTCAGACGAATATATTTCGCGAAAGATTAGCCTTAAAATGCACTCGAGACAGAGAAAGAGGTCAATTTTCCACAATGTTTCCCAAGGAGGCCTAACTCCCCTTCCCCTGATGGTCCTTTTCATAATGGAAAGAGCCAGATACCTCCCGGAAAAGCGGGAACTAGTTCATCCCTAGACAATTGCTCAGCAGTATCAGCATCAGAAGATCCACGTAACATAGCCACACGGAAAAGAAAAAAAGGAATTCTACAAGAATGCTAAATTTTCAGTGACATTTACGAGATTGAATTTATAAAAGCATTGCTAAATACTGGTAATTTTATCTGTTCTTTCTAGCGGGTTAGGATTGAGCGCCGAAGATTTCTTCGAACTTTGGGACATTTTCCAGCGTCGCGCATTGGAGCGGTTAGAAAAAGCCAACCCGAGAGTGCGACATGCGATGCTATGGACTAGCTCTTTGACACTGAACCCACGGTTAACGAAGTACCTGGATCCTGCAAAATACGTAATTCATATTAACACCAAGGCATCTGATAAATCAATCGGTGATATTGTTGCAAACGGGTACCCCGTTGTCTTCTCCAATCAAGATGCCCTGTACCTGTTTTGCGGGTAAGAAAGAAGTAAACATTTAATGTATATTTACAAACGAACGCCAGAGCGAAACTAAAGATTTGTAACCCAAAATAAACTGGAAAAATGGACAAAAAGAGGCAGTTGTCCTCGATATACTGCCTCACTGACCTTACACTCCAAAAGAAATGACTAAAAGCGATGCGTTGAATAGCTACATCCTCACAAACCAGAGTAATCCGCACAAGTTGCGGTCCGTGTGCGATTCAATTTCGCATAACAAGTGCGGTTTTAAAATCTTGCTCTGTAACTTTTGAATGGACCCAATGGCGTAATGTATTCTGGTTATGATCGAAATTTTCCAAATTTTATCCATTTGGTGATTTTGGAAAAATTGGAGTAGCAACCCCTTGATCAATTATTAAAAAATGCACATGCCAAAACTCAGCTTTCAATTTTTCCCTCCTTTTTTTCTTCTTTTAAATAAAGGCAAAAGTAATATATTAAACCATTGATATCGATACACTAAAGTATGTTGCAAGTTAGGGACGGTGCTTTTGATGTTATTTTCTTTGATTTCGGAGAGTAATTTTTGACACGAACATTCCTTAATGATTGATCTAGAGACTAAAACTTCGATATTTCTAAATTAATCAACCGAATGGATGGAATATGAAATTAATCGATCGTCCCTAAAATGCATCGAGCCAAAGCCATAAGAGAAAACTTTCAAGGATAATATTTCCTTGGTCGTCCGTTGCCCTCCAATATGAAAGCGTTGAACTGTCAGAATTTTCATTTTCGTTCTCCAGGGTGTTTTGGAGACATAAATCATGATGACTGTATTTACTAAATTCGGCAGACCTTTGAAATATTATTGGCCACCTTACTGACTTTTGCCAAAATTTTCATGCGTCGTTTGATTTATTTTATTCCGAGAGGCCGCTTAGGTTTTACGTAACACTAGCTGTTCTCTTGTCTTTTTTTAACGTTCCCGCTATTGCTTGCGTAACGTCCGTTTCGCAAATCCGATTCCCCCTCAGGAATCACGTAACGATGGATAAGCTACTCCCTCCGGTAGGGCTGCTATAAACTTTTGTTAGAGGCGAATTCCATGAAAATTCCCTCGCAAATCACAAAGAGCGATCAGGCTCCGATGAGTCAAAAATGTACATCTTGCTACATCTTGTATCTTCTTCGACTGAAATTACCGCTTTGCTTTGTGATGAGCTGAAACTAGTCGGAGGATGATTAAAAAAGCGATTAAAACAGGGTATTTATAAACAAATGTTTCATCCTAATAAGATAGAAATAATGTATCTTCGACGTGCACACTATGTTATATAAAAGACGGGTAACCAAAGTAAGCCCATTTTTGGGCTTTCGCAGCCCTAAAACTCAACGAGCTTAAAAAAGTATTAATGTGGTAAAGTATAAATAAATTAACAAAAATTCTCATTGAGAATTTTGGACTAAAGCCTCTTTTCTCGCCAGTAATCACCATCGTTCACACCTTTATTTTCTTTCTTTCTCTTCTTTTTTCTTTTTCTTGAAGTCCTTTCAAATTACATCGCAGAGTGGAAGCGAGTTACTTTTTATGAATCGTAAGAAACTGGGATCACTGCGGAAAGTTTGTGAATATAGGCGCGTCGCGTCGCCTCCTGTGGTAAATTGAACATATTGACTGTGAAACTCCAAAACCACGTATCTCGTATGCGGTTTTTAAAAATCTGCGCTCCTTTATCATTTTTGTAGGAAGAACAATCGGCAGTATCCCTTTGAAGTTTTTTAAAGAATTGCTCGCTACAGAGAGGAAAAATCACAGAAATTTTTAAGAGTTGACTTTGAGTAGTTCTCCATTAAAAAATAAAGAATGACAAGAGGTCTGTGACGTCGTAAACCGAGATACGTGGTTTAGGAATTTCACCGTTGATATTCTCCTATATCCCGTAACATTCTTAATCTGAATTTCTTATCATTTCAGGGTTGGATCCAAGAGCGCCAAAGAGGGTGAATGCTCCCCTTACGTGAGTTGGCAGAAGATCTACGAGAACAACCCCTTGACGATCCTGAAAGAGCAAGGTGTTGACCCAGCAACCGCGAAGAACCTGACGTTGGGCCAGGAGATCTTGCTGTGGTCGGAGCAAACGGATGAGAAGGACATTGACGTGAGGTTGTGGCCCCGTGCGGCTGCCATGGCCGAACGCACTTGGTCTAACCCCCAGGAAAGCTGGAGAGTGGCAAAGAGCCGCTTTCTGCATCACAGGGAAAGGCTCGCCCAGAGAGGCTTCGGAACAGAGTCCATCGAGACCGAGTGGTGTTACCAGAATGAGGGCGCCTGCGAATTCGAGTGAATACCACCTTCAGAACGTGAATCACACCTTTAAAGAAATATTTATACTAAGACAACACCTCAGCAGACAACTTGAAGACGGTGGTTCTGTATTGTAAGGATACATCATTGGGGAGTTTTTATCGACATTTTGCAGACAATAATAAACGGCGCCTATTAATTTCTTTCACCTGCGATGATACAGAAATATGAGGCGAAGATTCCTGCAAACATCAACTTAGAAGAAGGAGAGGCTATAGTTAAATTTGAGGCACAAAACACCTGGAATAAAAAATGGTTCGATTTTGTAAATAGCTTTGTGAAATAAAATATTGTCATCCGTGTAAATAAATTAACCGATCAACTTACGTGTGCCAATCATCAGTGCCAGCCATGAATTATTATTTTTCAAAACGCATTTCTGGAGAACATCCGTGAGCATTTCACTCATGCATCGTGAATATACTCAGGTTGTCAATATACTGCCCCCGGATATTTTGATCATCTATGGATGAAAGTTACGAATATGAACTCATCAAAAGTGAGTTAGTTAGTTATTTTAATGATAGTGTTAAATGCAATGAGATCAAAGCATTTATTTGGTTCTAAGTGTCTCGAGATGTGAGAAATTTTGATTTAATCAGTCTTTCTTGTTATCCTTTGTCTTGTTGATTCGTGTTTATTAATGTCATGACTTGCCATCAATTTTTCAACCAAAAAAATAGTTTCACGATGGACGCAACATACAACGTCACATGTCAGATCGCAATTTTTGCATATTTCTCAAATGATTCTCGTTAAAAATTTCAGTAGCTTGAGGAAAGGCTGCGGGGTGCAAATGCTAATTCACTGTTGGCTCTTTTGACTAGGCACACGCAGCATTTGATTATAGATGATTGTTCGTCACTTCCGTCATTAAGTAGAGCTTAATTTCTATGTCAGCTCTGTCATTAAAAAAAGTTTAAAATATTCATATCAGAATGGGAAAAATCTTTCAAGAGGTTAGGTAGAACCATTTGTTCGGATAAAAAGCAAATTATCAGAGAAGAAAAGGAAGTTAGTTTCGTCAGTCATTAATACTTATAAAATTTATTGTTTTGTAAATTGTGCTGTATCTCATGGATGTAGTGTGGGAAATAAACCCTCAATAATGATCCAGAGTCTGGTTGGTTTTATTTGAAGGGGTTCGCCTTCAATTTTTGTATAGGCAACGCAAGCTCCCTCGTGTTCGAATAGTGGTATCGTCATTAATGGCACGCTTAGTCGTGACGCACACAAATAAAACCTTTTCATCAGTAAAGAAGAGGTTACTTAAAGTCATGTCAGTTTTCCTTCAATTTCTAGTGTAGGCAATAAATGGTCCCACGTGGTCGAATAGTGGTATCATTCTTCCTATGATGAACAGACAGTCTCTGTTGGCGAATTCGTTGTAGACAAGGATCGGCTGAGAAGAGGAAGAAAAGAGGAAGGTGAAAAAGAAGAAAAAAGAGAGGGAAATAAAAAGAAGAAAATGAAAATGGAAAGAATATGTTATCTACTCGATCAAAACAGATAATCATAAACCGATCGACAACGATTCTATCTGGAAGTAAGAAAAACGGGTTTCATTATTTTTTTCTATCGGACTGAGTTGATCGAAACAATCCTGGTCTACACTGCCCCGGTAAATTTCAGTAATTTACTCAATTAATGAAGTGATCAATTATTAAAATTATAGTTCATGGTGAATCATCGAGACTTCAGGGCTTCAATCAGGACTTTTCGCTGGTAAAGAGATAGTCAGGTAAGAAATATACTGCACTTTCTCTCTTCGGAGTTGATTTTTCAAATTGTTACCGATATACAGGTGATGATATGGCAAAAAATTGCAATTTCTTCATTTCAGCGATCATGAAGAGCGATCATCAGCAAGTTCGAATGTCAAAGAAGTCAGTTTTGGCTCTCAGCGCATAGACAAAGTATAAAGGTACTGAACCACACACATGTATGAAAATACTGAATTCCATGGACCACATTTTGCAATTTGGAGCTACAATTTTTAGCTCACTTTAGAAACAACGTATTTGCCATACATTTCTAAACGCAGATAAGTGATTTTACAAATGAGTCAGAAATTAGTTCCTAATTTCAAAATGAAGTCCATATAAGAGTTAAAAACTATCCCTCTAATTATCCCTCCGAATCATCGTCATTTCCATCATCATTTCATCTAAATAATTTCCTCTAAATCATGTTAGCTTACAAGGCTGGATTAAGGGGAATCTAGAGGGCTGCAAATTGTGCAATTTTTTTAAATGTAGGTATAAAAAAATATCGGATGTAGAAAAACAAAATTACAAACGAGAAAAGGCGACAAAATCTCTAATTTTCTGAGAGTATAGTAATTTCTACTTTTGTCGTCATTCAGCGATACAAGAGACAGCACCTTTAATTAGTCGAGTTAAGAGAGAAACCAAACACGCAATTTGGCCTGGAACGGCGCGGCGCAGAGAGCAATGATCACGAGGACTTGAGATGAAAAGGAGAAGCCATCGGCGCGGCGATCGGCATGTAACTCATATCAGCGCCTACAAGACTGCACGAATACTTCACGCATTGCATCAAACACAGTGCAGTCATTGCGGTCAGCGTGAAACGCATGGCGCCTACAAGACTGCGTGAATACTTCACGCATTGCGCCAAACACGGTGCGGTCTGCGCGGCGCGGCGCGGCGGCGAAAGTTAAAATCATTGAACCACATTCATGTTTGTTCATTCATAATTTTTTCGTTCATTTCTTATGAATGGAAGGCCTTGTCCACACAGAGATAGGTTAACAAAACTTAACTTTTCCTAGTAGTGTTGAAAGGGTATCCCCAAAAAATGTGTCCAACACGAGTAAACGCGTCTTATGCACCCCTCCCCCGCTGGCACGTTCACTTGATGGTTTTTAGATGTTTCAATACGAATGCGAAGCGGGCGGCAAAATACAGGCGGCCCATGGACGGCAAGTAGGTAAATCCGGCCCCGTTGGTTTATAGTGAATTTCACCATTTATTCTGGAAACTTTGGAGAACAGCGAAAAGACCTTCAGGTTCAAGTGAAAGAGCGCTCTTCGAAACATCCCTGTTTTTGAGGGGTCCTCAGTTTTATTGTATCCAAATTTTAACAGCCTAAATTAATGAGGGAACGTGCACAGCGTGGCTATTCACCATTCACCGCACGCGTTGATTATAGTAATGGATACGCGATACATTATATAGTTGCTATCTCATTCATCAGTGGAGTACATCTCACAATCGCACCCATCGCAACTTATAAAACTGATGAACATATCCGTTTCTCATTTTGGAACACCGCATTACTCACTGAGTAAACCACACTAACGGCGGCTTAAAGAGGATGTATTATTTATGTTACATACTGTCTGCTTTTTTCTTTTATCAGATTATTTATAAAGGTTTAAAAAGAGTAAAGATTCGTATCCAAAATGTACACTGCAAGTGTTGCTTTAAATTACAGTAAAACCCTGACTATTCGGCCTGAAAAGCGACATAAGCCTTGTCCTCTATGTATTCTAATGGATCTCAGAGCTCATGCTAGAATATGTATATAGCCCCTTTTGATATAAATGCATCCAATTTGATGTCACCATAATTACATATTAATTTGCATGAGACTTTATTAACTGACAGTGTTATCAATGTGACTTCATATTAATGAGGAAGATACACTTTACTGAGATGAGTATTTATGATATATAACTATACCCTAAGTTGTCCGACAAAACCGACTTCTATTAAACCGCATCGAACTTTAGAACTTATACACTGCAAAAAAAATCTCAGTGTATTTACCAAGAAAAGGGTAAAATTACCAAGAATTCAGGGTTCTATTTGATACCAATTTTTTCTTAGTAAAATTACCATTTATGGAATTGGTAATTTTACCGGGAAATCTCTGTAAAATTATTAAACTTTCTCGCTAATTTTACTGGACCTCGGTAAAAACGCCAATCTTTTTTATCGACTGTGGTAGAATTACCGAGATAACATGGCAAAGTTACCGGGAATTGATTACCACTAAAAGTGGTATTCTTACCTGAAAAAAAAACAGTAAAAATACCGGTTTTTAGGTAAGCTTACCAGTCTGTCTTTGTGAAATTACCAATAATTGGTAAAAAAAAGTGAGATGGTAAAAGTACCAACGGACCTTGGTAAAAACGCAGAGAATTGTTTCTCAGTGTAACAAGACGTAATCTCTAATTTCCATCAGCTGATCAGAAGGTTTGCTTGACCTCCCGTGAGTCCCGGTGTGGGGTTCTATTTGCTGCGTAACTCCCCTCCGAGTCTGAGATCCGACCGCTTTTTGCATATATTAAGAATAAAAATGAAAAAATCGAAAAGAATAAAATTAAAAATACACCTAACGAGCCTAAAGGGACGGGAGCGGAGTTACCGAGGGGGGGGGGGTAGAAATTAGTAAACCTGGCTCCGGTATCGGAGGCACGAGACCCGGACCGGACCCTCCCCCGTGCGGACCCTTTTAAAATGCCAAGAGCACGAACAGCTGTGTCGCACGCGATGCGTTTTTGTCAAAAAACATACACTCTCGGAGTTTTTTCCCCCCCTCGCTCCCCGCGCCCTGCCTCGGCGGGCTCTCTTTTTTCCAGTAAAATGAAAATTTATGTGTCAATACGTATCTGGCAGAGCGAGAGAGAGAGGATTTCGAGGCAGTGGGTCTTTGTTAATCTCTCGGCCCTCAACAATAAGACCTTCCCCCTAATAACCGAGGGAAATTAAAAATTGTCCCCGCGCCGCGTCACTCACGGGCCGCGCGCTGCCGAATCGCGGATTCCCACCCCATTTTTCGTGTTGGTTTGCGCCTTCGATATCGAAAGCGGCAACCTTGCGTGACTCCGGCGCCGCCCGGGGGAGGGAGGGGGTCGTCTGGGGGTGGCGGTGCGTTTTCGAGTGAGGGGAGGACACGAGCAATAATCTCCGAAAATATCGGTTTTGTGCAAAATAAATTAGTTGGGCCCGGGACGATGAGGAATCACCCGAGGGTTGCCGATCTGTTTTTAAACTATTTCTGTCTCTATGTCCAATGTCAGTCTTCATCCCTTGCGTTAGGGTCTTGAGCTACGCTGGTTATTTGGGGACTGTCCAAGCGGTTACCTGAGGACGAACCGCGGGGCATCACCTGTTTGATCTTAATGATAATAGGTTTGCTTTCACGGTTTCGTCTGGTTAAATTTGTAAGATGTTACCGAGTTTTTGCATGTTTTCTTTTGCTCGGATCATTTTAGCGGAGAATATGGATTCGACCGACATAATATCGATCGAAAAATGAAAACGTGAATCGATCGACACCGATTCAATCGACAACCGTGAATCGATCGAAAACCCCGTGGATCGATCGACAAGCCCGTGAATCGATCGCATTTTGTCGTTCGAATCGGTGTCGATTGATTCACGTTGATCGATTCACGTTTTCATTTTTCGATCGATTCTTGTCGATCGAATCGACACGGGCATTGTTAAATTAACTGTCGATCGAATCGATGTCGATTGTTTCGCGTTCTTGTTTTTCGATCGATTCACGTCGATCGAATTGACACCGATTTTTTAATAATTTGTCGATTGATTCACGTTTTCATTTTTTTATCGATTCATGTCGATCGAATCCATACCCTCATTTAGTTGGGGGAGCCACGAGATCCATACACCGAGGCCTGAAACCAGATCTTCAGCTGTTTTTAAAAACCGTTACATTTTCAATCGATCTAGACATTGATAATACCTGGATTTAAGGACTTTTCTCCGAGAATACTTGACCACCACATCACGTTATGGTCCGTCAGGTGTCTCGTCTCTCCCTTGATGTAAGGGCTTAAGTCAATTTCCACGTAGGCCCTGATTTACACATAAATCCACGCTTTCTGAGGCTCATGTGGAAATCGAGATACGCCCTTACGCCAGAAGAGCGACAGTTCGAACGCAAAATTTAACCGAGAAACACTCTGAAATAACTCTGAGAGTATACGTTCAGAGTGGTTATTCCAAATCATTTCGTCCGTCTTTTTGTGACATTTCCACGGATCGTATACATTCGGAGCTATTTCAGACTATTTTTTGGTAAAATTTTGTTTGGAAATGCCTGCTGTACTTAAGCGTGATGC